CACCCCACTCTTTGCCTACCATTTCTTTTCATTTCAGCAGATTTTGTCTAGTACTATCACTGCTAAAAATTTTACTCCATTAAGACTGCCTGTTTATCTGTTCAGCCCTAACCTTATCGACCTGAAATTCATGGCCTACTGTAATAATCATTCTCTTAAAAATACCCTCGATTCTCTTGCCTGTCTTTTCTTCTGCCATATGCACCTGGCAAAGTCTCAACTGTAGTTGCTGGAGAAAATAATTCAATTAGGGTGACTGGTTTCACTTTAACTACAAGATAAAATTCAAATACACAATCAATACCCTGCCTAATATCCTATCCTTTTTCTCTGGAAAGTTTGACTTGCAACTCAATAAAATAACCTTTGTACCTTTTCTTCTCTCCTTACACTTTCATGCTGTGCCTCTCTTGGCCCCTCATTCCCCATAGTTGATGACTTCACTTCATCCCTTAATGAGAAAGTAAAGCCATCAGAAGGAACTCTCTCATCATTCCACCAACATCTGTCAACATCTGGACCCCTCTCCTTTTTCTTCTTGTGTAGTGGATGAAGTGTCCCTCTGGCTTTCAAAGTCCTCTTCTCCCCTTTCTTCAGAGTCTCCTCCTATCCTTGCCAATTGACGTCAATGGACACAACTCATTTTAGCTTGGAAGGTCTTATGACACAGAAGGCTGCTCTCTTTTTCTCTTAGAACACCCTCTTCTTTCAACTTTTGGACTCCATGCTCTCCTGTACTTCTTCCCCACCATTGGATGCTCCTTCTCAGTCTCCTTTATGAAATTCACTATCTTACATAGAAAGATGTAGTTCCTGCCTAGATAATGACAACTTTCAGGTTTTAAGCTTAAATGTCATTTCCTCAGAAGACTTGGCAGACTGGACTAGTTTTGATCATCAAGCTACATGTTCTCATTTACATTGTACTTTTCTTTCATAGCATTCATCGCCTATGAGAATAAATGATTTTGGGTGTAATTATTTGTTCAGTGTCTGTATCTTATTCTGCATTGTCTGTATTACCCATCAGGAGTCCTAAATGCTGAACACAGAGCTTGATAAATATTTGTAGAATGAATTAACGTGTAGGTGACTGAACGGGCTCAACAAATGTTATTTCTCTTTTCCTTTCCTGTCTTATATTTAGAGAAGTATGGATATCCCTGGGTTGTAGCATCAGAAAAGGCTTTCCATAGAAGAAAGGCAAGTTCATGGTGTGATAGACATTGACATATGTTTAAAATTACTTGAGGGTATGCTTATGGATACCTCTTATAGGCAGTTAAAATGTAGATCTGGATCTCAGTAAATAAGTCATAATTAAGGATATAGATTTTTAAATAATAAAAAATTTATTTTTACATCTGTTTTAAAATTTGTCATCTGCTCCAATGTGTCTTAAAATGAGGGAAAGAAGACAAGGGGATTTCTAGGGTCAAATGCCAGGATATAAAACATATAATGTGTACATTTGGTACAAATTAAAATTATTTAAACTCTGATCTGACTTGGAAGAGTCAGTCTTGAAAGAATTACAGTGGAAATTGTAACACAAATAGAATTGTATCCCTCCGCTGCCCAATATACACATTTTTTGGCAATAAATCCTGAGCACAGATCTGGAAAAGGCAGAAAAATACTCATTCATAGATAGTAGTATTCCAAAGTCAGGTATATGAAAGGTTATAGGAGTTTGGAAGTCTTGCAAAGTTAATTACAATTTTACAGCTCTGGATGACACTCAAACGAAGTCAATTTCAAACAAATATCAGAGTTAGTTTGAAAGTTATATCACACTTCAGCTTGAATTCAAACAAGATTGCATTAAATAATGAAAGTCCTGTGAGAATCAAATTTCATAATTGTATAAGGTACTTCTTTAGATGTTGTAAAACCATATAACCCTTTAAATACTATTATCTTCATGTGTTTTCAATAAATGAGCTGATTTTTATGAGCAAAAAACTGAATACAGAAAGATGTGACTACTTTCCTCTCTAAACTGTGTTTATATGGCTCAGGCACCGCAGTGCACCGTGGGTCATCTCCCCAGAAGTCCAGACCAAGTTCTATGGAGCTCTGGGCATGTTAATTTTGCAAACTGATATTTGTACTAGAGTGATAAACAGTCTTCAGTTTCATTAGCAGAGAAGCAGGAGATCGTTGATTTTAGGAGAGTGTCTGAGAGGATGTGAGAGAGAGCTGCCGAAGATGGTTTCCTGGTCGTGACCCATGGATGCTTGTGGGATGTAGGACGGCATGCTGTTCCACAGTTCAGTGTTCTTTTTAATCCTAGACTTTGAGGTGAATGAGTTGCTAATATTAAAACCTTCCCCATATTTGAAGAACAGTTTGTCATTTACTTTGTTGCTGCCAGATCCTTTAACTTTTTCATATATATATTTTTTCCTTAGATAAGAGCACCAAGGCAATTCCTTTACAAGCTTTTCTTTTCAGCAGTGGCATGCAAGCAAATCATTTCTAGTAGTTTTTGTGCAAAGCTCAGTAAATAGATTTTATTTTTCCATTGTAAAATTTATAAACCTTGTGCCATTTGGGAAGCTGGAGAGGAAAACTGTTAACAAAATTATTAGCGAGTTAAAGTAGAAATGATAATAGTAGTGGCCCAATAAAAAGTCTGAGAAATCGACTATTGGTGGTAAAGAAAAAGAAGCTGCTACAGTCTGATTTAGGGTGGCAGGTACAAAAAAATGTAACAGATAATGCATGCAATGTATTTCTCTATGATTCTTTAATTTTCCCAGTTCTTGGGATTTTGGGGAATATATATGTAGATGAGTAAACATGAGAAAGATAATCCTCCAGATCTATTGATCTATGATATACTTTTCATGAATATCTTCTGATATGAATATGTTTGGCTTGAGTCAGCATAAATAAGTGAAAGGAAGTTCTAACATATTTGAACCTTGTAGACATTTGTCTGTTATTTCATTGAGCTACTAGTTACTTCAACTAGACAGATAATTGCTTATAGCAAGAGCTAGGGTTCAGAGATTGGAAAGGGTCACGCATATGATATGGCATTGCCACTTTTGAGGCCAGCAGAAATAAGTGCATTGAAGATGAACAAATTTTGTTCCGAGAATATAATTGCTTAGTTTACTAGATATTAGGAAATGGTCTAGTTATGTATATGTAGTTATGTAAATATTTACTTGAAATCTACCTAAATCACTTTACGATTGAAAAACCTCATTTGGAAAGTTTTATGGAATCCATTTGTTTATACTTCAAGCTAAGTTATGTGGTAATGACATCCTATTAGACTTAATCCAGTGATGGTATATTTTTGACAAGAATTTTTTATTAGAACATATGCAAATTTCTGAAGAGTTACAAGTATGTAGATAATTTATCTACATGCATTATTTTTGATAAATAGATATTTATTTTTAAATGGCAAAAAAGCATAAGCAAGCCCTTATCTATATGTGAGTAAGGCTAATTTGTAAATCAATTAGTATTTATTTCTTCTCAACTAAGGATATTTCTCTTTAAAAAATGTACAACATTTCTGTACAAAATAAAATTACATAGTAGAACTAGATAACTTTCTATTTTCTTTCAAATAGGAATACAAAAAACAATTGTATTCCCATTTAAGAAATGTTAATTTCTTTAAATTCCCATTTAAAATGTTAAAGTTATTATTAGAAGAGTATTTTTAAAAATACCAACCAGCATGGATATTATCCATTATTTATTGACTTGAGATCTTTATTCTGCAGAAATTGTGTGTGGAACATTATCTGCAGGACAAGGGAATTGCTTGTGTAGCAATGAGAAATTCTCACCTGTCTCATGGGCCAGGACAACAGTTGTTACTGCCATAGCATGTTATCTATTAGTCCAACTGAAAATAAAATTTATTTTGATTTAAAAACACAATGTCAAGTGCTCAACAAAAGCTTCCGCTTTTTATTGGTCTCCATGCTAACATAAAATACTTTTTAAACAAAATGTTTTTGTTGGCTTTCTTTCTGTGAGTCATCTGTTCTTTTTTCCTTTTTCTGGGTCAAAATAGAAGAAACACATGCCATTTTAGTTTTAATGGAGCTTTCTCAAGGGCACTATTTACAAGAAATCTTTACACAAACTGTTTTCTAAGATATTTGTATATTTTTTATATTGACTTTAATAACTAACAACATACCATGGTTATAAGAATGACATATATTTCTTAGCAAAGTAATCTATAAACAATGTAGTAATCCATTTTCCAAGATATTAAATGATTTGTCATATATATGAAGCATGTTGAAATATTTAAAACTTTTATGATACATACCTACCTGTATTATATATAAAATGTGTTTTGCTCACTACTCACCAGATATTTAAAAAACACGAAACTGCTCACTTCAAAATATGCATATAGTAATTTCCTCTACTAAGCATAAAAATACCATTGAGTTAAATAGCAGTTATTCTGCCCATAGGAGGGGCAGAATAATTTCTTTAAAACTTCATGAAGTTCACTGGATTGTAATAATACCTGCTTATCTCATTGGGTTGCTTTTAGATCTAGGAACTAATATTTGGAGGAGTGCTCTGTAATCTGTAAGATGTATGTGAACACAGGTGTTATTCCACTGGGCTAAGCCAGTTACCTGAGCATAAGTAGAAAATTGCCTCTCAGTAGGCCTTGAGTCTACATCCATAAGCACTACACATTCTCTTTCAGGATTTAGGAGTTGTGCTGTCCTCATGTGTGGTGGTGAACAGGTTTCCTCAAGATTTGGGTGATTTGGGTAGTATGTAGGAGAGTAAGAACTTATGAGCCTACTGATATTGAAAAAAAGGCTATATAGATAGAATACACATAAATGTAATTCCAGAGAAAGAGATCAGATACATAGAATCACTAAGAGCCTTCTTGCCACCAAACTGGTCCCAATCTAACCCCTGCCCCCAAAATGAATAAACGAAAGCTAATGCTGATATTTTGCTTATAGATAAAATGTTGTATTTTTCAGAACGCTGTAAATGTAAGCCTATTAGAGCTACACAGAAGACCTATTTCCGAAACAATTACAACTATGGTAAGGATAACTTCATGACCGACCTGTAAACTGCTGTGTTAAGAAAGGGGTGTGTGTGTGTGTGTGTGTGTGTGTGAGTGAGAGAGATTAGTTGAGCAGTTTAAGAATAAGGCTTAAAAACAAGTAAACAAGAACGACTTTTAAGAGCATACCTGTCCCAAATAATTAAAGTGTCTCATGTGGGCAAAATTCTTAACAAATACTTTATTTTGAAGCATATCAGGCAGCATTACTGGCATCTTAGAACCATGTGATTAAGTACACAGAGATACATTTCAAACTAGATGGAAGAGACTCTTCCCTCCCAGAGAGCCTGAGGAGGATGCGAGCACAAGTATTTGGAGCTGCATGGGTCATCGGTTGTGCTTTAAATTCAGCTTCACTGAGGTGAACAGAGGAGCACTTTGATGCATAAGGGATGGTTAATAGAGTTAAATTTGGCTTCTTCAATCACTCTATTTCATGGAAAACAGTGACAGAGTTGGAAAGTAACACTTATAAAAGTTGTTAGTATTCAATTAAGGAAATATTATCCAGCTTGATGTAGAATGTAGACATTCTGATAAAATATTAATTGAAGAGCTACTGATTCAAATGTGGCTGAAAAACTTAAGTGAAGGAGGAGGAAAAGCCTGTCTCTGTGTCAGGTACTGGGCTAGGTGGTTTCCATGCACTGTCTTATGTAATTTTTTCAACTGCCCCATGAGATGTATTATTATCCTTATTTTATTAGTGATTATTGAACCGAAATTATCCTTTCTTTGATTATTCAGAATGTACTTTTGTACTTTGATTATTCAGAATGTACCACCATGCTTCAGAGTCACAAATTTCAATTATCATTTATTTAGAAGGATCAGTTAAGAGAGTTTTCCAGTTGATAAAACAAGGGACAAATTAATATTTGCTGTATTCCATCAGCATTTGTGACTTTTTTCTAGCATCTATGAGATTAATGAAGGTCACGTTACTATCTCTGTAGAAGACTGTTAATACTGAGTTAATGAATAAACATGGCAATTAAGTAGATTTTTGACAGGAACTTTATTATTAAAATGAGTTTTATTATTGAATTTATGTGCCCTATTTTAGAAGCTATAAGACATATACAGCAGATTTATTTCTACTTTTATACTTTTGGGAATTGGAAGAAGAGAAATGGGCACAGTAACCTTTGCTATCTTTGAAAATACTGTGTATTAAAGGTATAAAGTAGACAATTCTTTAAAATAAATGCATGGAATTTCCGAGTGTTTCTTCAATGAATTCAATTTCTATTCTTTGCTTACTACTCATCTTAAGAAGAATCTACTTTCTCTTAGCCAATGGTGGCTGTACTTTCCAAGGTTGAAAGGCCATGTTTATCTAAGAGGTCAGACTCCTGGCTCCTCATCTGAGGACCCATCCCTCCAAAAATCGTAGGGAAAATCACAGGGAAAGGGAGGTCTTAATTTTCAGGAGATTAGCTTTTTAAGATTGAAAAATGCTCTGTGAACTTTTAAGTACAGTTACACTAAAATCAAAAGTATAATAAAAATATTAAAGAAATTTAGTTGAATTTGCATATATTCTTTTTTACTTACTAATTTTTACTTTATCCAACTTTCTTAGTGCTGCAGTGGTTGGTGCTGTTTTTTTTTGTTGTTGTTAAAAGTCAAAATACTGGTGGTTGTAAGTAATGGAATAAGTATATCTTTGACAAAATAGCTAAGTGAATATTATAACATAAAGTGAGATGCAGATTACAATGAATGGAAAGAAGATATAGCCAAGCAATAACCAGGTTGCCTGTAGTTTAAGGATTTTCACTTGTCTGAGGCTTACTTAGAACTTCTTTGGGGGAAGGCAGACTAAATATAGGGCAAAACTCTGAAAAGAAAATACATTTTAAATTTTGAAATATGTTGATTTTTATCTTACTTAATTATCTCATGTGTCTACTGAGAAAACAAAGTGAGGATGAGAACAATGGATAATTCAGACAAAACCTCTTCTTCATTCAAATTAATTCAGGTAAAATTCTCGAGCTTTAACAAAACTACTTGAATAATAAAGTAAATCTTGTAGAGAGATATTTATTTTGGAGTGGGTACATGTACTAAAAGTTTCTAATAAAAATAGTAGACACACTGGGTAAATAAATCATTAGTTTAAGAACATTTGCACAGTTCACTAATCTCTAATGGTTGATGGATGCTACGAAGTACATTCATATAAACCAGGACACAAAAAAATGTCTACTAGCTGGGGTTGTGAATTTATTGGCATTGTGATCCCCCAAAATGACATTTCAAAAGGGAAATCTTATCTTTTATCTTTTGTTAAAATATAGGATAGAGAGAACACTGATGGGAAGGGATTCCTTTGCTCATGAATCACACCAAGCAGGGACAGAGAGATTGTAGTTATATTTTGTTTGCTATAAATTCTCATACTTGAGATAACTAGTTTTTTGAAGATTGATATACCTGTAAAACAAAAATGAGGTTTTGTCCAAAAGTTTTTAGAATTGGTAACCTAATTCCTTTGTAGTTTAAAATGCCTAAAATATGTGGGAAGGGACTAGGATGAAAGTGGTTTGCTGGATTCATTTGGATACGTTGTGTTTTCCTCTGCGTAACATCTATGGATATTGAACCAGAGCAATGAGGGTGCCTGGGAAAAAGCCATCGGCTTCTTATTAACTGACATTCTACTTCATCTTAGACTTTTTCAAACTCGCCCTTTAAAAAAAAATTCATTTACTAGAAGCAAGAATCTAAAAACTTTGGCTTTTGAAAAGATACAAATATAGAAAAGAAGCAGAACTGTACTTGCTAGGTTATGGATCAAGTACTTTAACTTTGCAACTGAATTGATTATTTTGAAGACAGTTTGTCGTTATATTAAGAAGTGAAGCCAACACTTGTAAGATAAGTTGGGTGCCACTATATTCATTGAGAGAGGTAGATTAATGCAATTAACATGTTAGACCATATTCCATAGCACTTGAGGGGAAGCAATGTTGGAGTGTCTGACTTCACAGCAGATGAAGGAAATAAGATCTAGCGGTGATAGTTTTAATGAAAAAAGAAAATGTAGTATACTTACAAAAGAGTATGAAAGACAATATGCACTGAAACAAAGGAAGAAACGAGTGATGTTTGAACAATGAGCTAAGACCAGTAAGGTGAAAAGACTGCAGAACACAGTAGAACGAGACAACCTTATGTCACTAAAGAGACCCTCACTCTTTAGAAAATCCATTAATAGACCTAATAAAAGAATGCTGACAAGAAATTAAAGCCTATTTAAATACTAGGTCTTTAATATGATGAAATTAATCAAATTTAAATTTCTGCTGGCAGCAATTGAAACTGCACACACACGCACACATACATCCAAAATAAAAACTGGGAGGAAAATTACATCAGATTCACCCAATCTTTGATTGTCTAAATGAATTTCTCTCAATGAAATATATACACACATATGCATATATACTCCCAAGTAGATATGCACTCAAATTGGAAGATCGAGGCTTTAAAGAAACAGGTGTGTTGTGTAGTGTGTCACTCATTATCACTATGACAAAAAAATCTGGTTGACCTTTCTTCTCCATTTATGGAGCATCAAGTGGAGAAAAGTTGAATAGAAAGAAGCCTACTTGTCTTTTTTGAATGTGGCACCTATTGTGTATCATATCACCATATCAGCTTTGTTGTCTTTTACCTAGTTATTCGGGCTAAAGTTAAAGAGGTAAAGACCAAGTGCCATGATGTGACTGCAGTAGTCGAGGTGAAGGAGATTCTAAAGGCTTCTCTGGTAAACATTCCAAAGGACACCATTAACCTTTACACCAGCTCCGGCTGCCTGTGTCCTCCACTTAATGTTAATGAGGAGTATATCATCATGGGCTATGAAGATGAGGAGCGCTCCAGGTAATACACTCCCTAAAGATTCAGACTAATTCCCATGCCTATCCTATCCTTATTGCATTTCTCTAAAGATTTCTCTGGGGTTCTTACCTTGAGATCTGTCTACCATCTAGGGGATTACAGGTAGGTTTTAGTTGGGTCCCTCATTTCATGTATTGGATAGAAAAGTGTATATGTGCAATTTGTAGGGGCGCATTTTTCTGGAGAGAGGGATAAATGCTTGATGTTCTTAAGGGAGTCCATGCCTCCCAAATAGTTAAGAATTACTGTTCTAAAACTTGGCTGGTCTGTTCTAGAATAAAGAGGTAAGTCTTTCTTAGCAAAGATTCCTTGTATTTTTCAGTAATATATTTTAATTTTTTAAAAAATGATTGCTTCTTTAAAAAATACAGATTACTGTTGGTGGAAGGTTCTATTGCTGAGAAATGGAAGGATCGACTTGGTAAAAAAGTTAAGGTAAGCCTATATTTCATGTTTAAAGTGATACATAAAAAATAAAAGTAGAAAAGCAGCCATGTGTCATTTAACAAAATAGCTGCCCTTAACTACATCAGAAATAATAAAAACTGAGAATATATAT